ATTGCGTTTCAAGGGAATTCGAATTCATTTTGTTATTATTCTATAAACTATCAACATATTTATAACAATTTCAGTAAATAATAGATCTTAAATTATTAAAACAATTGGGTCATAGTTAATTATTAAAATAATATAAACAATTGTTAATGAATAGATCAAATATTATTCTAATTCAGCATTTAACATCTTCTAAAACTCATTTTAGAGTTTTAGTCGTTAATTGGTTCTAAACTAAGTAAGAATAAGCATTGTATTATCAACTGTATTTCATGTAGGTTGCTTGAACCACATATTATGTTGATGTTTGGACAATCTATCACTTTAATTGTATTGAAAATTGTAGGTAATTATCCGTCTGATTAATAGCCCTTTCTGGGATTAGATGACGTCTAGCTAAAGGATTCTTCTTACTCCGTTATTCAGGATGTTGTCATTCGGCCCATAGCCTTATAAATACTAAATAGAATGGTAGTGGTCTAGACCAAATGATGACCGGTTACGGTAGGGAATGGTTTCCCTCATTGGCATTTGTAATGCGTTATGCATTAAGGGTTTATGTTAGGTTATGGCGGGCTAGGTTATGGTACGAACGGATTGTCATCAGTCCAAATTTTTAAAGGTTCAACTAGTATTAACGTAAATATGTAAAGTTTTGTAAAAAAAATAGTTTGATTGAATACGAAATCACTACCAGAATTTATATGGACATGAATTGATAGACATATATCATATGTGTATAAATTGTATAGATAACATGATGACTGAAAAGAGATATTAAAGTATGGGTAGTGATAAAGGGATAAACATGTAATGTATATGTATATTAATTTTGCGTGTGTAGATAGACGTTTTTAATGTTCGCGATGTGATAGTGATATACCAGCTATGTCTACGTGTATATATATGTACGGGAAGTACTAAAGATTTTATCTACACACACGAATTATAGTAAAAGCCAGCAATTTCCTCAAATTGCCCTTAATCCTCACGTTTGCTAGTTCAATACTGAAAGTTTGTAATACAACGTACACGCACAGATTTTCTGCTACGATAATGTAAAATAGAATTCTTCAAACAAAAGTATCGCATGACCGAACGCTCTGTTGTATTTACTTTCTCTAGCGATGGGCCCCTTCCAATGTTTTGGATGCGCACTGGCAAAATCGTAGGTAAGGACAAAAAGGCTCATTATACTTTCTACTCTTGGTCATTAAACATACTTTTTCATACAGTACCTGCCAAAAGTTTTGTTCAATCATGAATTGTAGTGCAAGTCGAAAACAAGCGTTAAAGCCTTTAATATGTCTTAAAATATAAATAAACATCTCGTTGATATTTTCAGTAGTAAATGGTACCAATAATTGCACATTTGAGCAATGCAATTGTAGTGGATAAAATGGTCAATTTTTCCGTTCAGTACTGTACGGATTATACGCTCCTCGCCGGTTAAGAGTTATCTCCTTTCTTTTCTGACCTAGTGCTGTTCTTTTCTACTTTGCGCCGGTCAAACTAAAGGTCACATCGCCACAGAAAGTAAACGAAGTATAACTACTAATAAATGCATCAGAAATTGGCAATTCACATATTACAATGAAGATTTCCTATTTACATAAAACTGCTTCACTCAAGTTCAGAGGATTTGAAACGCGAAACTGCCACTACACTGCTATAAAAAAATAATGGAATTTGTTATCACCTAAATAGAACAGGAAATCAATAATAACTGTACGAATTATCTAGGAGAATGTCCTCGGAGTAAGTGTCCATTGTTCCTATGTCTGGATAGCACATGGTTGAAATATAGAGACAAACTAATTTTCTATGGATACTTTTTTCCTTCTTTCAAGTACCTAATACAATTTTGTTCGCCAATAAGTCACTTTATGCATTGGAGTATATTATACTAATAACCTAACCTAACCTAGTAATATTAAGATCAATTTATGCGTTAGAGTGAGGGTAAGTTTTCGTAACTCTCAGTATTAGATTAAATGAGCAAGACCCAAGCTAAGCACGCAGGATCAAGACCAAGATGGTGATCGAGACTAAAAGTATTTCAGCAAGACCAAAACCAAGATAAAACCAAGACCAATACCAACACTGGGACAGTCTTGGTCTTGTTCTTCCTTTGCTAGTCACTAGAAGTGAATAATTGGTCCACACTTAATCTGTTATTGTTAATATTATTATACGAAGAAAGTTTTCTGTATCGTTTGTTGGTCGAAGTAGAGCAATAGTTAGAAACATGTAAAATGTAAATAAAATCCTCATTTAATGAATTTGTGAGTCTACGATCCTTTAATAAGTCCAGGATTTTAAAAGTACTTCCAAAAGTCTGTAAAATTTAATGGAAGAAGTGAGTAAGTAGGGCATAAATAAAGTTTTTATTTACGACCAACCTCATCCTCGTCAAAGTTTTTCAAGTAGTTATCATAAAAAAGAGGTTACAGAAAGTTTTTGGAACACCAAATGAGCACGATAGCATCGGTAAATGGTTTAATTAATCCCCTCGTTCCCACAATATCACAGGACGCGAAAAAGGACAAGGATTTCTTTTGATCATTCGGAATATAACACTTTTTTCTCTCTTCCAAGTCTCTATGTCGCGTTTAGCAGGTACAGAATTTTAATTGATTCACCTGCATAAACTCCATCAGAAAAGCTGACGCCAAAGTAAACTACATCGGGGGTTTTTGCAAGCGACGAATCAAAGGACGAGTCACAGGTATACGTTCACACACACATTCACACAAGTATGTATATATAGGACCTCCTTTCCAATCATAATTACAAAGAGCGCTTACACGTACAGGATATTTTGCTTTGCAAATGGAATTTTTTTGTGCAGTGAAAAGGTGCGCAAGACCATACCTGCCAGGGAACACCAAAGCTGAATGAGTATTTTTTAATCCCCGAAAATACAGCAACAGTGAAAAGCATTCGATTCGAAAATCGCTTAAAGCCCGAACAGAGTAATCCTTTGGGATAAATCATCATTTCCAGATAACAATAAGATGAATTTTCGAGATGAAAACAGGTCAATGCCTTTTGGGATGTTGTTTGTGGGATTCGAGAGAGATACAAACGTTCTAATTCAGTAGTTCATCAATGACCCAATTGCATTCATGTGACACAGTTTGTCGAGGAGAATGCAATTTCAACTTTTTTTAGTAGTTGCATCTTCACAATCATTTCAAAATAGGTCTCACAACTGTCAATTTTTAAACCATATAAGTACTAACAATTTTCAAAATCAAGAACAAAATTATATGACAAAATAAAGATAATAAGTAATATTTGAACACTAAAGTTTAATATTTATATAATAGTTGTTACTCAAGGTAAGAATTTTCCTAAAAACGGTAAGCAATCTTTAACATGGAACAGAAATGGAACAATAAGCTAATTCATTTTCAAAGTAAGTCATATTCATTAGTAGAAGTATAGAAAAGAAGGGATTTATCTTGGTAGGATGTGAAACGAGACATTAGGTCAATTTTATTCTGTTCCTTTCTTCCACAAGTTAATCTACAATAGTCCACATGAACCTTTGTTTTTGGAACTGAAAGTTTCCAAAACAACGATGGTTTTTCTTCAAGCATTTCGAGCTAATGAGTTTAACAAAAGTGATTATGTTGGTCATCAATAGACACGCTACATGTTACCAATTCAGAAAATAAAATTGGTTGAAAGAAATATTCATCCAGTATCGATGGCATTTTGAAATTGTTTTTGTTTTAAACATGGTGTGTCTCATGTATAAGTACGTATATTTACTTCCTTGTGAAAATAGTGTGTGAGAAGATTATCCTTTTATGAAACAAAAGAGTAGTAATTAGTCATCTGGTTTCTTTCACCGTTAGCAATTCTTGACTTGCAGAAGAGTATTATCATTTTTCAATGGATTACGATGTAAAGATAAGGAATGAGATGGAACAGTTATTGAAATGAGCACGTTCGTCTATTGGAGGAAAGTTCTTGGTGTGAAAGATTCGCTGCTGTTGGATATCCATTAATCAGTAGAAAGTTTTCAACAGAACACGAGAGAATTTATAGAGTTACTCGGGATTCTATTTCAACTTTTAATCCTTTCCACGAGAGTAACTTTGAAAGAACTGCACCGAGCGAGAAGGAGCATCGAACGCGCTGTCGGTCGGTCGGTCGGTCGGTGCATCAACTCCGCCGTCGTTCGTCGAACCTTACCTGTTGGGGTGTAAACGAGAGGCAACTCGTGGATGTCGTGGTGATCGTCTAGGAACGGACTCCAGAAGGGCCAAACCACATCGATCGGATCCACGTCAGTCGGATAAATAACGGACGCTTCCAGATCCACCGCGGCCAGATAGCGGCCTCACGGCCGTTCGTCAGAGCCACAACAACACCACCAAGAACAATGTTCACCTTCTCCTTTTCCTCTTTCTTTTGTTTATTGTTAAATATCGTTATTAGTGTTGGCGCCTTTGTTTATTTTCGACAGACGGACACGCGACCAACTGTACGCTCACGTGGCAAGCAGCGATCGTTCAAACGAGCACACGTCGGAGAAGTGACAGTAGCAGAGAGAGTTTGAAGAGTGTGAATAGTCACGAAAGGCGCGAAACGTTCTCGAGTCAGTCCGTTTGCTTGACCGCGACAATAACAACAAGGACGACAACAAAACAATAACAACGCCGATCATACGATTTTTTGGCCTTTTTGACTATCGACAGCGGCTCGTGCCTGAAGAAGCAGCGGCAATGCACTGACGTCAGATAAGAGCAGCCGGTACATAGGCGCTGTGGCCACGAGGGCAGGCGACGGCGACGCAGGCGTCGAAGGATAACGCGTGCGCTCTTATCGGTCGCAAAAACGCGCACATCGTCAACCCCGATGAACTCGTCATAAATCATTTTTGCGGCCGAAATTGCGTCGCAATCGTCACGAATCTACTAATTAGATGGAGCGGATTGTCAAATTTGAGTTCAACGCCATGTCTTGTTTTGGTTTAGGACGTCACTAAGATGATCCTTCATACGCATGTGTGCGTGCCAAAAAACGGATTGGTACATTGCACAATTTTTCTCAACCTTGAAATTACTTCGTCATTCCAAAAAATAACACCATCCTGGTGTCAAACGACAGCCATCAAACAAATTGTTGCGTCACCAGGATCCGAACCCGTAACTATAGATAATAATGTGCGTGTGGAGGTCTGTTACAGCTACAGCATCCCCCGCACACGACCAGCTGAACCTGGGGAACTTATAGGACCCTACTGTGACAGTTGTAAACCTGCCGACAGTCGCTGTTATCATATGACCCTCCACGATGACAAAAACTCCTCAAAAACAATACAAAAAAGAGTCCAAATAATCACTAACTGTTCGTGTTCCTCGTGTGACAGAATTGAAGCAAAGGATTGTGAAATTTCTGACGAAAACACATCGGAATTACCGTCAAACCTCTTTGCCCTTTTGCACCTTAACACCTCTACTGAAGATCAATCGAAATATTCGTTGCCAGAGCTTCCGGAATTGCTCCACATGAGTCTCTCTGAAGACGAGAATCATTCTGCCATTCACATCTCCGACATAACACCAGAGAAAAAGGAGTTGACGGAACCTTAGTTGTTTCACTGAAGAGTTCCGAAAATTCTTATGTAAAAAACCTATTGTTAAATAAAAACAATATAAAATAACAGTCATTCCAAAAAACTTCAGGCCCCTTGCGGAATTTTTACAGGACACCAGTCTGATAGTATCAAAAAGGAATCAAAGCTGTTCTAACTAAACCACCAATATAAACGAAGCCTGAGAAGACGCAGATAGTTATCTTGAAGACTCTTGAAGACGCTTAATAGAAAGCTTTATCTGTTTACAGGGTAGTTACCAAAATTTGTGTTTCGATAAAATTTGCATCATTCTGTTCTGTTTTTACTCAACTTCGTTGGGTGTTCTCAATTACAGTAGGTCCCCGATAATCCGAACCCCCGCTTATCCGAACGCCTCTATAATCTATAATCCAAAGGACCCCTCCCTCTTGGTCACGCGGTCTTTTAAGGCGCTATTACCCACTGATTAAATGAATTCACAATACTGTGTCATTCACTTAAGCTACTACAACGAAGAAGTATTATAAGAATTGAAACCAATGGCAAGAATTTCACATACTCGAGTTGTGCAGTGGCGGATTTGCAGTCCTAGCCGCCCCTTTCTCAGCACCCATCATTATAGACTACATTCATAATTCATGAATTTGTTATCATCAGTGACTTTTTTTGGCACGATTTGCAGTCCTTAATATCTGGCCGCCCTAATAGTCCAGGACCTACTGAGCCTTAGGGAAAATCCTCCAATGGAGTTGTGTCTGCATTAAATGAGTGCCTAAAATACTTAATAATTGAAATTATTTCGTACCTTCAATTACAAACATCTATGATCTAAAAAAACGTTTCGAAATATCTAGTTACTGTATTCCGAACGCTCCACAGTATAAATTTTGGGTGTTTGAATTATCGGGGCCCTACTGTACCTACTCTTACTTTTGAATTATTATTGTTAGTCAGTCAATCTTTCTCTGCCTGCAATAGGTTGTAAGTTGACGTTTGTAATTGTCTTTTATCGGGAGTAGTTTACCTGAATCCCGCATTTTTTCCGGGTGCCATTTCTCAGAAAGAAGATCCATTTATGTCGCGATAGGCGTCACATGGCCATAAACATGTTTGTAGCCGCTAAGATCTTCTTCGCTTGCAGTGTCCGAGAACAAAATTTGCAGTTTCCCGGATAAGTAATGGCCGAGGCGTCAGCTGCAAACAAACGCTGATACAAATCATTTGTATTTATTGCAGATGCGCTCCTCGTTGACCACACGAGCTGTTCGTTCATCTCCCTCGGTTTCCACGAGCCGCCGCCACGATCACCTTCCTTCCCGTTGTCCGCCGCCGCACGGAAAAAGAAAGTTATGGACGGCGAATTTTTAGCGCCGCAGCACACTTTTCGCAGGTGTTTTTCTTTAACCCGTCGACCCTCACGTGCAAGAAGAACGAGCCAGATGCGACCCTAATTCTGCTTAAGAACTCAGTTTTCCTCCATTATGGCTCTCACGCTTGATTGATCACCGTCATTCTCCCAGCGGAGAAAATTAATCTTATTGTAAATACGCGAAACCGCCTCGAACAACTTGGACGTATTTGATGTTCTATTGATACACGCCGTTACTTTCGCTCGGTATCTTGCAATTTCGACATTTTCAATCTCTTTAAGTACAAAAGCGTTTAAAGGAAATCCGTGGTAAAGGTTTGGATTAGAAAGGTATATTAAACAATAAAGGGTTTTAAAAAATACTACAACTGGCGCAGTAAACGCCATCTGTAGCACGATGCTACATTTTAGGATTACGTATGCTCCAACAAGGTCCACTTGTGTGGATATCTACTTGCTGAAACGAATCCCGGCGTAGACACGTTACCATAATCGAATAAAATAATTCAAAGTGGTCTGTATTCTGTCGAAACCGCCAGACGCGGGTCGCGATTTCGATCTTTTTGGATCTCATCAGCGCGTCAGACCACTTCGAATTATTTTAATAAAGGGTTTTATTATTGTCTGCCAAAAAATAGGCAGTCTGTTAATCTAGAGTCTGTCTAAAGTGTATGTTTGAAAGTCAATAGGTAAAAGGCCAGATATGATGAAACATGGAGGGTTAGTTAGAGACATATAAGAAGCAGAAACAGGATTAAGGAAGTTCTAGTTTTCGGTAAATGCAGATTTGTTCATCAGGATAAAGATTGGAGATCCGTACGAATATGGTTAAATGCTTATGCCCAAAAAACTCAGTTTGAAAAGTTTTCTAGATGCGCACGTGTTTTTTAGCATCCTTTTCCGAGTCGCGCGTTTTATTGCTAGTCGAATGGCATTGTTTACTGACATTTCCCGATTTAATTCATTCCAAGGATAACGTGGAATCGTCGCCTGCCGATGACGCATCAGAAAGTACTGGCCTTCTTCTTATTATGTGGTCCTCTTTTTATCCGATCGATACCGTGCAGCCTTGCCAATTTATTTTTTATGCCTCAAGTGCGCCGCCGCTTTCACTATTTTTTTCATTCGACGCGGAATTGAATGGGAATCCTAGTCGTCTAACCATCGCCCATAAATCTCGAAGAGTTTCTGAACGGAAACGGGAATGGTCCATTTCAGATAAAAAAAAATGTCTCCTGTGAGCCGACGCCATAAACGCCGAAAGCAATAAAATGAATATTTGGGGAAACTTTGCAGAATACGAAAACGGAACCATCAGAGAATGTTTTGTCCGGTAAGTATAAATACAGCGCACCATTGCCAAATTTTATCGCCCTCGTCTTAGAGTTTACCGTAATTATTGAATACTGAGCTTAATTTTTTTTATTGTAATCCTAGGAATTGTATACAATTCCGAGGCAATGTGTAAAATATTGTTTCAAAGATTTTTTAATACACACATAACCTCGGACCGTATACGTTCCTAGGAATTGTATGAAATTCCGATATTGTACTAGGAAATATGTATAAAACCAATGCTTTCTGTCTTCTCCGACGGGCAGGAGTATTAAATAAACTCCAATCTGTCATAAATCTACCTAACCAAACATCTCCAAGCAGCCGGTCGTATTATTATCTATTTTATGTCATAGGCCACCAAATATTGTTTTTCAATGTTCGATAACTATGCTTCGTTATCATTTCCGCGCCCAACATATATAAGATCAGCATATTCACTTCTACAACATACTAAAAATATATATGCATTGGTGACGTCATTGTTTGGTTAGGTAGATTTATTTTATTGGCAGAAAGCATTAATTTCATACATTTCCTAGTACAATATTGAAATTTCATACAATTCCTAGGAAATGTATACATTTCCCAGGATATGTCTATTAAAAAACCTTTGAAAAATATTCTATTCATTTCCTAGGAATTGTATACAATTCCTAAATTTCCGGTAACATATATAAGTAATTAATTTCCATACCTGCAGTATCTCCACCGTTAAACGGAGAGATGGTTTAGTTTTGAGTGTGAAACTGTAATTTTGGTCGAAATCCTATAAATTTGTATAAGTTAAGCGTTAAATCGAATAGTAATGATTGACTAGGTCATGTGCATGGTAAAGTACGTACCTACGTGTATGTACGTCACCGACTGAAAGATGAAAATTGGATAAGTTTCGCGTCGTCAGGCAGGTCGTTAATAAAACTTTGCAAACAGCGTACATAGTAGTACATGGTGGATAGGTAGGTAGTTGTAGGTACGTGTGGATTATGCTACCCCCAGGGCGCCGTATCGTGTCAGGCTGCTGAACCTCGCCGGCAGGCCGTGTGCGGTCAGCCGTACCGTACCTCGTCGGATCGTGTCGCGTTACAGCGCGTCGACGCTCGTAGAAGCACATCTGTATACATGTGTACATGTATGTATGTATGTACAAATACAGTATCCACATATGTATGTCATTAGGTGCCATCCCATATACATATACAAATATTTCTTCCATTGCATATCAGAAAAGACAAATGACAGTTGAGAACTAAAGGAAAATTTTCAAGGATTCGAAAGCTTATTGGTTACTTTCTTGCGAAATATATTGATTGAGAATCCTGTGAAATTGTTTTACTTAAACATATTAATTTGATACTAGCGATAGAAATTTATTGAACATTACTTTAAAATTAACAGACAGAATTTTCCTTCATCAACATCATCATAAGGTCGTCAATGGTCTAAGACTAGTTGGACGCACACCTCCACTCCTTCCTATCCTGAGCTAATCTTCGCACTTCCTTAAAACTAGAACATCCCACTTCCTTAACTATTTGTGAACAATAATCTAATCTGGGTCTACCTCTACTCCTTCTAACTTCTGTTTGTTTTTGACTAGACCTTCATGCCTATTTCTTATTGACTTCCATAGAGTCCTCTGTTCTCCTTTTCCTTCTAGTAGTTCTTCATTTCTAATCTTCTCTATCCACGGTACCGTCATCATTCGCCTGTATTAACAGTACATTTCGAACGCTTCTAACCTTTTCTTTTCCGCCGCTCCCACTGTCCATGTTTCGCACCCGTACAACGCCGTGCTCCAAACATACACCTTTAACAATCTTTTTCGAATTTCTAAATTAACCGTTCGCGAGCATAGAAGTGACTTCTTTTTATTGAAGGCGACTCTACCCTGCATTATCCTCTGCTTTATATCCCTACTATTCCTTCCGTCCTGACTTATCTGACTTCCTGGATACTAAAATCAGCCACTTCTTCTTATCTTTCGTCTCCTATCTTTACATTCGCTCTTTCCCTACTTTTTGGATTCAGCTGATTAAGGAATAAATACTGATGTATGCGCAAACAAATTATAAGTAAGGTACTCGTCTTCAACTGGTACTAAAGACATGCTGTATGGACGTGTCACCAACAGAGAGTTCATCAATTGAACTAATAATAATAAAAAAATATCCCTGGTATATCCAATACTTTTCAATAGAGGCATCTCATAAATATTTCTGCCTACATCAAGATAGACAGTCTTTAGGTATTAGGTAATGTACATTGTAAAATAAACATTGATATCAATGGCATAAACATTTTACCAAAAAGATGACTTCTGACTAAATAACGTGTCGATGCTCCTCACCGAAGCATCCAAAATAAGAAAATGTTCCTGAATATGGTAACTTTTACCTTTGTGCATGCCGGTGTACTTATCCTTGAGGATGGTGAACTCATAAATTTTCCCGAATTCTTCAAACATAGGTCTGAGATCGTTCTCCTCTAGATGGCGCGGTATCTGTCCGACGAAGAGTTTGACGACGTCTTTACCACCAGATGAAGGGAGCGGAGGCGGAGGACAGCCAACTGGTAACGTAGTCGAGATGGGATACATTTTCCCCGACGGTGTCGGAATCAGCATGCTGGTCATCAGCGGCAGTCCCCCCTGACTCGCCTTCAACTAGCACGCACAAAAATCGATCACGAAACCCCTCTCTCCCCCTTTTTACGAAAGAAGTCGGACGCGAGCGGGGAAGAACGCGTTTCGAATTAAGCGTTGTTCAACTTTTTAAAGGGGACTGGATCCCTTATAAGTACACTCGAATCGTAGATTTTGTTCTTCACTCTTCCAACTTCCACAAGCATTTATTGATCGAGAAAAGTTTTTTTTGCAGATGCAAATGGCACCGGTAAGAACTTTGTCACTCTCAAAGTATAAAAATTAGACTCGTAAAAGATACGTACTACGATTACGATATCGAAAGACTGTATATTTTGGAAAACTATTTATCTAGGTACAACAATTTTTACTGTTGCTTTCGACTGTACATTTTCGCATAGTCATATACACGAAGAAGATGTTAGCGGGCAGGTAATTGGAGGAAATTGTTTTCCACTCGTAATACTGATTAATTCTCTGGCTTAGGGTAAAACAGATACCTGCATTAAGTTTGGCAGTTTTCCTAAAGTATGATATAATCGTTGACTAGATAAAGGGGTCGATAAAAAGGTAATCGAACATTGAAAATACGATCACACGCACGTTTGCCAAAATATAAATGAAGGAACATAAATTGAGCAATAGAATAGAATAGGTACGATAGGGTGTTTGGCAGGGTACTATGTATAACGTAGCAAGTGTCGACGACCACCTTGCGCGCAGGTGGCTGATACAATATTGCACCTTTTACCGATGGTACCTAACCTAACTACGACCACAGCACCTCACTAGCACAACACGAGACGAACACTGAACTGTTTTGCACGATATATATTTTTGGTCTTTGTGCAGTTGCAATAGTGCGATCCAAGCCAATCCACCCTTGCTCAATAAAGAGGTGAGGGGACGGACCCTCGCCCCAGCTGACTCATACGCGCCACGCTCCCCCGAGCCATTACGCGAACTTGCGTCAATGAAGGTGTACGCGTCTCTATGTTTGCGTATGTACACACGTACATTTGTATACGTGTGTGTAACTGGATTCGCATTGTTTTTACCCCTCGACAGAAGAAAACTTCTAAAGAAGGAGAGGAGAAAATACCATTGACCACTTTCCCATCGCGTGAGGGTACTTCTGGTGGTGTATTAGCGTTGAAAATGCGAACGCATCATCCTATCTGACTACACGAAACAACGAAAATTAAATCTGACGTTTCGAAATGTTTTTCGCGTAAAGTGTGCTACGGCAGCTAATCTTGATTAATGTTAAACTAAGGAAATTTATAACGTCATTTATCTTTGTTTCATTTTTTTTTTGTTTTTGGTGGAACACTGATGGAACATATATCTATACGAAAGGATAAGACGGAGAAATTTCAGCTTGCGTCCAAACAAGAACTATATAAACTCAAACATACTCGTAGCTACTCGTCAACGAATGTAAACCCTCAACAACCTCAATATATTGTACCTATTGTAGCGTGCACGAGTGCGTTTGTGTGCGATCGGGCACACGTGTGCGTGAACGGCTTATCGATTCGCCGACTAGCCGCGGGCTCCTTTCTTCATGTGCGTCGTATTTGTAAATGTGTGTATCGTTCTGGGAAAGCAATTAAACAGTTCAAAGAAAAAATAAACTATCCGAATGTTTCCAGAAGGTTGCAGAAAGTAAAGAAAAGGGTATTTAAAGGAAGAGTCGATCACCGAGAGGAGAAGAAATAAATTGACCGTTGCAGAAGTGAATCGAGAAATAAATTGACAGTGACAGCAGTGAAATAAATAGCGCAGTGAATAGTGATATATCAACAGTAGAGTAAATAATTTGAATAATTCATAACCTAAGTTTAGTAATAATTTAATAGTGTTTTTAAGTTCTTTAATAATCAGTGTAAATAAATGGTTTTTTTGTCGTTATCAGTCTAAGAAGATAATTTTGTTAAACCCATGAACATTACACTATATTATTATTCTCATTTGGCAGATTTGTTATTAGGCACAATTATAAATATTATACATTAATATAAGTACGCATGCACCTATTAATATTATTAAACATTTGGATTAATATTGGTTACAAATAATACACGTATCATTTATATATGTGACATTACATCCATTTGTCATTTTGTTATCAGGAACCAGGGCCGATAGATTTTCCCAAATTATGCGCTATTTTGTAGCGCGATAGAAATTCGTCTGTTCGGGAACAAGTGGTTTTACTGATAAATATAATTGCAGTCGGTACAGTAATTCCTAAACAGCTGTTATCGCCCGTGTCCTGAAAATCCCAGATTAGATACGCTAACACTCGTTGAATATTGTTCTACAATGTGCGACAAAACCCCTTGTTATGTTAATTTCCTCTCGGTTACTAATTACACAATATTCATTAGTGTAAATAAATAGCCCAAACCTACCAGTCGAAGTGGTTTTTTAAAATGGCAAATGAAATTTGCAAAAAAAAAATGTTAACGCAATTTACCTCTAGAATTACCAAAATTATTTACTACTAACAGCTCTCCGAAGCTATTAAAATGAGTCCTACTGGGTATATTCACTAGATGGCAGTAAGTAAGGAGGAGAGAGATGCCCACTAACACAATTTTTGTCAAATTACCCTAAACCTAAAGAATTTAGAACCAGCTTACGGAAAAGAACAGAAAATTCATAATTTAATTTTTATGTCAAATGAATTTTTTGTAATTTCGTTCAAAAAAGATTATTTTGACATATAATTATTTTAATTGTATCATTTGTGGGTGACATCGATCGATGTAACCATTTAGGTCTTCCATGTTCTCTCAGGAATGTGTTTATCAAGAGCCACAAAACTTGTAAATTGTTTCAAAGTGGTAAGGTTGCTTGAAGGACCAAGTCACCCCTATCGTATCCTCGAAGGACACAACAAGTTAGAAAACATCGAGATGGACTTGGCTGTCATCCTTTCGTTGTTGGTTTGTTCTCGGTTCGTGTCCTGCGCGGTCGCTGAACTTGGACGACATCGATATTTCTCCGCGAGAGACGCGCCGCGTCACAATTCTCGTTCAAAACGTATTAAATATCGTAAGAGACTTGCCATAAACTGACGGATTGCAGGTTGTTTGTTATAAAACTTTAACAATGTTCGAGAAGAACGAGAAATAATTTCTGAAAAGCGAAACGAGGACGTAACCAGCTTCAGATTTTTCCGTTTTAACGAGCACTTAGGCATATTATACTCATACGGAGAGACGGGACAGAAAAATGACTCCTAATGTGAACCAGTAAAAACGCACCTAGAGATATAGCTGTATTATGCTTTACGATAAGCCCGCAGTACTCAAATATCTATCTGTAACGACAATTCTTATTTGGTGGTAATTTTAACTAAGTACAATTCAAATTAACTGTAAATTGATATTCAGATATCTAATTAAAGTCACGAAACATTAGAATCTAAAAGCAAGTAACTTTAGCTGTACCTAATAACTGAAATCATTCCACAAACTAAGGAGCATTATGTATCACGTATGAGAACTTTGGTCGACTAATCATGGTAATAATAGACGAAGTTGTACTAGTTTTAATCCCCCCATTTTCACCCCTCGAAAGTTACCTAACTATTATATGTAGGTACGTACAAATGTTAATCCTTCCTTATACATTTTCCTCAAGAGAAATTATTATTTATGCTGGGACTGGGGTAACAAATTGACGCCGGCTGGTGTTATCAATCCTCAAGTTTATCAACTTCAGTAAAATAATATTCTGTTACTTAAAGTTAGAAATTATTAGATCACGCCGAGGAAGCATGTACATTCAATAGCCATTTGAACAGAGAATTAATTTAAAGGGTTGTAAAAACTATTTTCGGTATTCTATTACTGTTAGCAAACAATTAGGGATATGTTCCAATTTTAGAGAAATATGAAGATTAGTTCAGGATAGGAAAGAGTGAAGGTGCGTGTTCAACCAGTCTTAGGACTGACGATCTTATGTCGAAATAGAAATTTAAGCCCGATATATGCGAGGACCTAATAAGGCTGTCCAGTTTAAGGAATTCTCAGTGAGGTCCTAATGAGGATTAAATAATGATATCCGAAATAAGAATAAACTTGTCAGGACCAAATCAGGATGTCCACAGTTTATCCTATCAAAGTAAAAAATTGATGAAATCAAGTTTTCCACGCTAGGATATTATTAGGATTAGATCATTTCATGATTTACAGGGTAAATATAATTAAATTCTGATCAGGATTGAGTGTGGATAAACTTGATTGGCCGGATTTTAAATATCATCAGATGACTAGACTAGAAAATGGATTTTCCTTCTTGTTAAATGTCCTTACAATTTTACAAGTCGTTTTATACGATGTCAGAAAAATTTTTGGTTATTCTAGAAGTGGCTTATTTTAATATAATAAATTTGCAATCAGGTTTTGGTAGGGTTCTTTGAATTTCCCTATTAGGTCCTAACTTTTATTTCTTTATCAGGTCCTTCTTTAAAAAAAAAGCGCAACAGTCCTAGTCATATCGACACAGGGTGGTCCTTGTCAGGACCTTGTATGAATCGTGGTTATAACCTGTCAGGTCCAAGATCATAATTTCTAGTCGGGTTATACCGAAAATCTATGAAATCCTATAAATAACTTTTTTCTGGTGTAAGTTATTTCAGTGTCGCTTACGTGACAAATCCTACATGATTCGGGATAAGTTTAATGCAGCTGCAGATCAATAATAACTTCAAGTATTCTGTACCATTTTCTATATTTTGTATTTTCAAGTCTTCTTATTGTTTCATTAATTCAATTGACCATTCGCATCTTAACACAACACATGAAAAGAACTAATCTTGAGTTAAAGGATAAAAGTAAAATAGGAATCTAAAGTTGATTGCATCCTTTTCTTATCTAAAGAGAATAGAGGTCTCAACTGAAAGGCAGAAGCGGGTCACGGTAGGATTAATCAAGTTCATTGCATGCGGAAGACGTCCTTAGAAAGCAGGATTAAAGAAATCCTCTTCCCATTAACACAAAACAAAGGCCCAACCAACGGTCCAAAGAAGGAGCCCAACATCTTTCATAATTCTTTATTATTATCTTTTTCAAGCGATGATGCCGCAGTTCCTGTGTTGACAGATGCGCACCACAAGGATTAATTTAAGGAGAATGTTATTTATTTCTCGGCTGCAACTTTAACATTGCTTGAATTTATCGCCTGTTCCGACAAAAACGGATAAATTTAAGGAAGGATCGCCTCTTTTAAAAAATATAACTTATACCTTACACCGAGCTATGACACAATGACTGGACAAGTTTTGACCCTAATCCGGACTTGTAATTTATAGTTCGTGCTTTTTTGCTTAAAGTCTTAAGATGGCAAAGACAAATTACTATCCAGAAAAATACGAGTTTGACCTTATCTTTGAGACTCAGCAACGTAAACATTTTCATACTTTTCCCAAAAATTGGAACACGGCCCACAAATTAATATCCGTTCATGTTCTGCCTTTAATTATTCAGACTATCGAAATATTAACTTAGAACTCTACATGATTATAGGCTATCATTACAAATTAGTCAGTACGATATCAAGGGAGAATAGCTTCTTTTTGAAGGTGTATATTTATCCAACGTTCCTGTTACTTTGTCCCTATTTCCTTTCTCAGGTCTATCGACACGAAAACGTCGACATAAAAATTTCAAAAAGTCTTCGATGTATTCGTACACACAGTGGCATACGTATAATGACACATAAGATAAAAATTTCCTTTTTGAAAGAGTTTTATTAATCCAGCAACAATTTTTAAAGAAAATGGTTGAAAACTGTTTCTTAATTGTATTTTCTCAGAATTTAAACCTCCAAGTCGCTCACGTTTCAGTAGAATAAAATAATACCAATACAACATACAGGCTTTGCAAAAATTAATGCAAATTTAATTACTATAAAGTAAGAAAAAACCAATTTTTATTCATGTTTATCTTCAAGGATTGTGAACCCAAAAGTTAAAGCTCTGAATTTCCGAGTTTTCAAATATGTCCCCCAATTTATGCATCAGTGAAATAATTTTTGAAATAGCTTTACGCACTACAGATAACCTCAAATAAATAAGGAAAACAAAGGGTCCGGGTTCGATTCCCGGCGGAACAGTGACAACAGCAGTAATTTTTTTCTTATTAATTTGAGGTTATCTCTGTTAGATGAAGTTCATTTAAAAATTCATTCACTAACGTATTGTATTTGACACTACAGAAATTCAATTCCAGTTAAATTTTAAAAATGTAATGCCTCCTGCTTTAGGTCTATCACTAATGCCGTAATGGTGACGTCGACACTCAGCGTTCCGTTAGTTCTACATTAACTCGCTAATTGCTTCTTAATCATTTTTTGCCATTAACTTTAATTTTCTTACGACGCCACTGTTTTTGATTGTAAAAGTACATACATATATAGATTTACATACATAGATATAAATATATGCAAAAGTAACTTTCGATAGTTTGTCGTGGTGCCATTATTTATGCGTCGTCCAAACTTGGCCGCTGAATTATGTAGGAGCTTAGCATGCCGCCTTCGCTTCCCGTAATAACGTGGCCCTTTCAAAAATCCCTCTAATTATTCGGCGACCCGCCTTTTATTATTTATTATTGGTAATAACGCGAGAACGTTGTTAGATACCGATACGGGATTCAAGTAATGGACTAGAACGATAAGACAGCAGGAAAAATTCTCACAAGTGTCACCACCAACTTCTTAAAAAACTTACAAAATACGTAATAGATATCCAACAGACAAATGACAAAATAGTATGTAAGAATAATTTAATCTTTTTCTGTATGATCTACGTGTTATTACAAAGAGGTATCTAAAGTTTGGATACAAGACGTAAGACGAGAAAACTAGTGAACGTCAAAGCACCACTTTCTATATTGCTAGAATGGTGTTTTCTATATAACTATTTTCCTTATTTATTTTGAAAGAAATGCTAGAGATTATTAGAGTAATACTTCAGGGCCACACAATCAGGTTTACTTTTATGCAGAAATTCTGTATTTGATAAGTTGACACAATTTCAATGTAAGAGGGTCCCAAAATCGACTGTTTCAAAATACGTTACTAATTGTATCGATTTTAAACTTCAATCAGTGCCATGTCGACAATTTTCATTGGGACGTGTGACCTAGGTTCGCTATGCCTGTCCCATCTACATCTTCACCTTTGGCATGATTAATTACCGTTAGAAAGTGACGATAAGCATTTCTGTATCTGTATATACAGTAAAAGCTCTTTATTCGCGGGGTATACGTTCCATAAATAAAATCAATGTATTGATAAATTCGCAATTAAAATTAACCGTTATAATCAGCTTTAGGCAAGAGTTTAAAAAATTTAGTGATTTTTCTTGTTTTCAATTTTGAAATTAGTGTACTCGGTTACATCTTTTATAAAAATCGTCTCAGCACGACCTAATAGTACTCAAAAGTACGTTGAAAAATAACACCGAATCCTTTTCTATTCAAAGGATGCCGATATATTAAGAAAATTTAATGGTACACCCGCTATAGAGTAAAAACATGCTTATCGCTTCTAGATATCATAAGTTTAATATTTAAAACAGACATTTGAAGTTTTGTAGTAAGATAGAAAAAGCTTTGTTCTAAAGCTTGTCGAAAGGCATTTCTTAATTTTTTAATTTCTATTGAAAATACGTGTCCTACAAGAAGCATCAACTTTAAGCACTTGTTAAAGCTTTTAATGACCATATTATTGGAAACCAAAAACGTACCGAGTTAGCGTCAACCTTTGTCTGTTACCATAAAAAAAAATTAAATATTTATCTCGCAGCGTTAAATCACAATGTTCAGAACAGAAACCCATGTTTTCGAAAAAATTCACACTAGGCACGAGCGGTCAATTTTGGTGTCAATCCCCTTAATAAATGACACCGAATCCTTTTCTGTTTACCGATTGCAACCGCGAATAATGAAATTTTTAACCGCGAATTCAGGAACTCGGTTGCATTTTTTTTGCCCGCGAATAAGGAAACCGTGAATAAGGAACTTTAAGTTTATTTTAGTGTATAGGTAGGTATGTCTCATCAAATAACAAGCATGCTAAACAGATGAAGGAAATAAATCAGTCGCGTACTGTTGCCAGACGTCACAACAGACGTATCGTACCTACTATTCATGTATATCAGAACCGAAACATGGCATTATGGGCATTCGCAAATCAGAATCGATTTCGGTTAGTTTCTCAGTTGTAATTCCTTCGG